AATAAAGCTCCTGTGTAGGAGGAATCGTGGTATGAATAAGCTTGTTCAGAATGTAGTATTGAATTTTGCCCAATTTGCATGAATTTCTCAGTGTATTTTGTATATCGGCCCAGAGCTTTGTATTTTAATTACATCTCAGTATATAGAGTGCTGGCTCCCATTGTTAATGTTGTCAGTACCATAAAGTCAATGGTAGGCAACACAAAACTGAAAGAAGTTTATCTCAATTTTGTTTTTTTCTAATTTATATATAACTCACTTGGTTCCTTGCTCTTTCATGAAAAGTCTTCCTTTACCAGCAGGGCTGATAAATCTTATGGCCTGAAAAAAAAAAAAAGAAAGAAACTATCACAAATATGCTAATTATTTATTTGAGTAACAGGTTTGATTTTATTTAATCAACTTTCCCTCTCAGAAAGCTTATTTCTAAGATTTTTTTTTTCTGCATAATTGAATAACTCCAAAGAAAAGAGTGGTGAATTGCACAGTTGCTTTTATTTTGTTGTGCCATTTCTTATTCCTTTTCCAACAAACCTCCTCAGATTGTCTCCTTATTTATTTTTATGTTTTATTTTTTATATTTATGTCTTTGAGTTTAGCTGTTACATTTACGCTGCAACTGCACAGCACCCAACACATCAGGGTACTGACCTAGTGAGTATGCCTTGTAATTTAAATGCATTATTGCAGCACTTGTGGTTATTGTTGTTTTTATTAAGGAACAAATGTTCTTTGGCAATTATATTCATTTGATAGATTTTTTTTTCAGTCGTTGTATAATGTATTCATGAGTAACGATTTTCATTACCCTGGTCACCACACCACTGAGACATTAACAGACGATTTTCCTTTAAGAGTATAGTTTGGTAAGCAACCAACTGTAAATATATGAACTAGAGGAAATGTAGTTGAGAGAACAGAAGCTCCTGTATGGCTGGCAGCTATAGATATACCTTTGAAAGTGAATTTGCAGTTGGACTAGATAATCCATGCAGTTTGCTGTAGCCCCAGGCCCAGTGTTTCATCTAAATCATGGTGCTTACTCAGCATTTGCAATAGAGCACACATGCATGTGGGATTTCAGCAGAAATGTGCCAAGGAGCTTGCTGAACCAGGAGGTGTCAAACTGGATTCAGGCTGAAGCAAATGAAAGTTTGTCATTTTAGCTTTTAATACGGCAGGGGAGTAAAAAACATGTCAGGATATGTGTCATGTAAGTATTTGTTAGAGGCTGACTAATTACAGATGAACAGATCATGGGAATGGGATGCTAACTTAAACTATGGCTTAGTTAAAAGAAAAGTTGGCAAAAGCTAGCCAATGCTATAATCCTTAGTCACCATTATCATGACCATTTAGTCACCATTACCAGCCATAGGGAAAAATGACCTTGTGAGTGAGGAACTGGTCAGGGATCGAGTCTGGGTTCAGTTCCCAGTTCTGCCGCAGGGGCTGCATGTGACAGGATTCGATGGCAATATCCTGACTCACAACGGCAGGTGATTTTTCTGAAAGAAACAGGAAATAAACAGGTACTGAATAGCAATTCAGTGTAGGCAAGGCTGACTGTGTGTGAAATGAGGTGTTGGAATAGTTATTCAGAATATGCAAAATCAGGCTTGGCCCCAGATGAACCCACATGAATGAAAAGCATTAAGAGTGGTATGAAAAACAAGCCCTTCAGCTCTCTACATACTTCAAGTCTTCATTTGCAAAATAAGACTAATATACTGCTTTGAATAATAATTATGTGTCCTGTCTTGCCAACTTGGACACTTTGTATAGAGTGTCTTTTCTAGTTGTATGAGCAATGCCGATAGCCCAGAAGTCCTGATTTCCGCTGGAAGATCTAAGCACTGCTACCATACTGATAGAATAGAATAGAATAGAATAGAATAGAAATAGACTACATCAGTTGGAAGGCACCTACAACAATCATCTAGTCCAACTGCCTGACCGCTTCAAGGCTGACCAAAAGCATGTTATTAAGGCCATTGTCCAAATGCCTCTTAAACAATGACAGGCTTGGGGTATCAACCACCTCTCTAGGAAGCCTGTTCTAGTGTTTGACCAGCCTCTCGGTAAAGAAATGCTTCCCAATGTTCAGTCTAAACCTCCCCTGGCACAGCTTTGAACCCTTCCCATGCGTCCTATCACTGGGTACCAGGGCGAAGAGATCGGCACCTCCCTCTCCACTTCCCCTCCTCCAGAAGCTGTAGAGAGCAATGAGGTTGCCCCCCAGCATCCTTTTCTCCAAACCAGACAAGCCCAAAGTCCTTAGCCGCTCCTCATGGGACATTCCTTCCAGCCCTTTCACCAGCCCTGTTGCCATTCCCTGGACACATTCAAGTACCTGAACAACTTTCTTAAATTTTGGGGCCCAGAACTGCACACAGTACTCAAGGTGAGGCCACACCAACGCTGAATAGAGCAGGACAATCACCTTTTTTGACCGGCTGGTTGTACTGTGTTTGAGGCACCCCAGGATGGGGTCTGCCCTCTGGGCTGCCAGAGCACACTGCTGACCTGTATTGAGCCGGCTGTCAACCACCACCCCCAGATCCCTTTCTGCAGGGCTGCTCTCCAGCCACTCCTCTCCCAATTTATACTTGTGCCTGGCGTTACTCTGTCCTAGGTGCAGAATCTGGAATTTTGACTTGTTAAATTTCATCCCATTAATCTTTCCCCAGTGCTCCAATCTATCTAGATCCCTCTGAAAGGCCTCCTGTCACTCAAGAGAGTCAACAGCACCTCCCCATTGGGTATCATCAGCAAACTTGCTAATGGTGCATTCAACTCCTGCATCCAGATCATTGATAAATATATTGAACAGAACTGGCCCTAGAATTGAATGCTGAGGCACACTGCTGGTGACTGGTCACCAGCCAGATGTAGCCCCATTCACTACAACAATTTCAGCTCTGCCCTTCAGCCAGTTCTTCACCCAGCACACCATGTACCTGCTCCTCCCACAGTTGGACACTTTGTCCAGAAGGATGCTGTGAGGGACAGTATAAAAAAACTTACTAAAATCCAGAAAAACTACATCCACCACCTTCCCTTCATCCACTAGGCAGATGACCTTATCGTAGAAGGGTAACAAATTAGTTAAACAGGACCTTCCCCTTGTGAACCCATGTTGACTGTGTCTGATGATTGCATTATTCTTTAAATACCTTTCAACAGTACCCAGTATAAACTTCTCAATAATTTTTCCAGGAACTGAGGTTAGACTACTAACAGGTCTGTAGTTCCCTCACATCCTTCTTGTAAATTGGAATAATATTGGCTAACTTCCAGTCAGCATGGACGTCCGCAGACTCCCAAGCCCTTTGGTAGATGATTGAGACAGGTCCTACCATAACATCCACTAGCTCCCTCAGCGCTCCAGGATGAATCCCATCAGGCCCCATGGACTTGTGAACATTCAGCTGATACAGCTGGTCCCTTACAATTTCAGTGTCCACAGATGGAAAGTCACTGTTCCCACACTCATGGTCCTTTGACTCAGGGGACAAGGCAGCCCAAGGTCTATCAGTATTACTAAAAACTGAGGCAAAAAAAAGCACTGAATGCCTCTGCTTTTTCTTCATTTCTATTAGTCAGGTGACCACCTTCAACAAGTATAGGTCCAATGTTTTCTTTAAGACCTCCTCTTGCTTTTAACATACTTTAAAAAGCCAATTTTGTTATCTGACATAACAGTGGCCAGTTTCAACTTTAATTGAGCTTTGGCCTTTTGTGTCTTCTCCCTGCATATATGAACCACAGCTCTGTACTCTTCCTGCAAAGCCTGATCTTGCTTCCAGAGATCATACAATTTCTTTTTACTCTTGAGCTCCACAAGGAATTCCCTGTTTAGCCAAGCTGGTCTTGTGCCCCACTTGCTTGACTTATGACACAATGGGATTGCCTGCTCCTCTGCTTCTAAAAGGTGGTACTTAAAAACTGACCAACACTCATGGACTCTTAAGCCCTCAAAAGCAGATTCCCAGGGTACTCTGCTAAATAGTTCCCTGAGTAGCTTAAATTTTGCTCTTCTGCAGTCCAGGGTAGCAACTCTGCTGTCCTTTGTTCTCGTTACACTGAAAATTTTAACTCAACCATTTCATGATCACTGTGGCCAACACAGCCACCTACCCTCACATCTCCCGTGAGTCCTTCTCTATTCACAAATAGCAAGTCTAGGAAGGCATCTTTCCTACTTGGCTTACTGAGTTGTACTGAAGTTGTCTCCTACAAACTTCAAGAATTTCCAAGATCTGGTTGTCACAGCAGTATGGTATTCTCAATTTATGTCTGGGAATTTGAATTCTCCCATAAGGACAAGGGCTACCAATCCAGAAATTTCTCCTACTTGCCTATAGAGTAACTCATGAGTGCTTATATTCTGGCTGGGTGATCGGTAGTAGACACCCACTACAACACATCCTTTCTTTTCTGGCCCTCTAATCCTCACCCTGAGGCTCTCAACCACATCACAAACTTTACAAACTGTAAGGTTTGTACAATCAAACGTCTCCCTTGCATATAGTGCGACACCTCCACCTTGCCTGCCCTGCCTATCCTTCCTGTACAGCCTGTAGCCCTCCATCCCAGCACGCCAATTGTGGGACTCATTCCAACAAGTTTCACCACCACCAGAGTCAGGATGTGCTTGTTCCAGTTCAGATGGAATTTCATGTGTTTCCATTTGTGCCCATTGGTTCTTGTCCTGTCAGTGGTCACTACTGAGAAAGGTCTGGCTCCCTTGCCCTCATTCCCTGCCATGCAGCATACAGGCACAGAGGCATCTTCCCCCTGGGAGGGAAGCAGGGCAGAAAACTGGAAAAGAAAGGGAAAAGGGGTCAGAGGAAGCATTCTGGTTTGGTACTACTTATGTATCCCAAAATGCCGCCCTGCTGTTTCTGCGTCTGAACAGGTAACAACCTGCTGCCTGCCCGCTTTCCCCAACCAAGTGTTGCACAGATGCTCACAGAGAGAGGGTTGGTTAAAACAAGCTAATTTATTGTCATCTTTGCATGGTGTAAAGGTCCCGGAGGGACCTCAAGGCTCAGGTAGGGGCCGGAGCTGCTTTGCTGCACTGCAAAGATCATCTCAGTGCAGATGTTGATCTTGGAGGTGCTCGTCAGCTGGAACCTGCAGGACTGGGAGGAGGGCAGCACCGTTAGCTGGCAGTGGTACGACTGAGGCAAAAGCAGCCAGGCCGATGTCACCAACCGCTGGACCCAGCAGGCGATTTTCTCCACGTCTAAGCGGGAGCGCGTGCAGAGGGTGCGTAGGAGGTACAAGCTCGGCAGCTTGTCGTCGTGCTGGTGGTGGAGGAAGCACAACATATCCCCCAGCAGCTGCTCCCTCGAGCACAGGCACTCCAGCGCCACGCTGACGCCGGAGCGGCTTGCTGGCAGCTGCCCCGTGGTGCCCAGCTCCAGGCTGAAAGAGTGCCCGGGGGGCGGCTGCAGGAACACGAGCAGGCGGTAGGCGATGCTGTTCTCGTGGACACGCCAGGCTTCGTAGGCGCCGTCCATCCCAACGGCTGGGTGCATCTGCGGCATGAAAGTCCTTTTGCAAAGCACGCGGCAGACACCGAGGAGGTCACCCACCAGCTCCTTCAGCACCTTGCACGTGTCGGGCAGGCCCTGCACCGGCGACGGCGTAGACACAGCCAAAGACCTGACACCGTGGTGCGCACCGCCGAGCTCTTCCTCCTCCTCCTCGTCCTCCTCCTCGCTTCTGGAGCTGTCCTGCTCGCTGCGGCTGTCCGAGGCAAGCTTCATTTTCCTGGCCAGCCAGCGGACCTCAGCAAGTAGGACGAGGGCTCCGGCAGCGGCCCAGAAGGGCCACTGCCGCAAGACGGAAAGGAGCGTGGCTTTGTCCGTGCCCCCGCTCCCCTCCATCTCCTGCAGCAGGCGAGTCATCTCCTGGCGCAGATACTCCTCGCGCTGCTGCATCCGCTGCTGCGCGACCACATCTGCCTGGTGATCGTGCTTCAGCCCGTGCTGGGCGGCCAGCACGGCCAGGACGAGGGCGACTGCCGGAACCATGGCCTGGAGGGGGTGGGAGAAGAGGGGGCTGAGCAGGGCTGGGGGGGAGGGAGGGAGCTGGGGGGGGGGGGGGGGGGCC